TCGTCAAATCTCCAAAAAAATCGCCGATGTTCAATCGCCACCTATTCGAGGTCACGTCTCCCGGCGGCGCGTTGAACATGTCCCTCTTCACTTTACATTCCTGTTATACCCCTTCCTTTTACCTCAATTAACGGTTTTGCCCCTGCGTCTTTAACGGTATATTTTTCTCCCTAGTAGAAAGTAGAAACTTGTAATATTTGGTGGTATCAAAATTTTATTTTATTTTCTTAAAAAATATGAAACTACTATTAAAAATTCTTATTTTCTCCTAGATAGCAAATATGTTAAAATGAGTCATGACRTGTTTTTAGTGTTCACATTTTCTAAAATTCACTTATATATTAATTTTACCACGACTAAAATTATTTTTTGTGGTCGTCAAAATCTCTTGCATTTAAAATAGTAATGTTTTATAATGATATATAAGTTGATTTAGAAAAAAAAATATATTTTTTGACTATACCAAAAGTACTTCCAAATATATATTTAAATGATTCAAATAATTGTATATCAACATAATTCATAGGGAAATAYAGGGAAATTATAGTGGGTAGCAAAAATCTTTTATGTATTTCAAAATATGTCACATATTTTTTWAAAATTTCAAATATAGTACAAATTTTCACTTATATCAGTAGTATACCAGATACTCATATAAATAGTATATCAGATACTTATATCAGTAATAATATGTATATTACATACATATTGYACAGACATTCATATCRGTAGTATATTAGATATTGCAAGTATATCAGATATATATCACATACATATATCGGTAGTGAGATATATTACATATGTATATCATTTARGTAAAGTTGTCATTTAAAATTGGACCTCCATTTTTCTAAAATTAAAATAAAAAATAAAAAACTAAATGTGGTTACTATTTTGCTAATTTTACTGAATGTCTTTGTACCGCCCCTGATTCATAGTGTATGTATTGAATTTAAATAAATTGAAATTTTAAGTGTCAAATGGATCTATATATTCTTCTGAAATTAGTCTGAATGAAAACATATATGAAAGATAAAATAATGCATACATCTTAATAGGTACATTTYTAATAAGAAACAAACACCTATTTATTTTAAAATTTAAATATTGTGTTGGTTATTCTATTTTAAACGTTGGTATATGTAGTTTGTAAATGTTCATTCTCATCGATTACTTTCAAGTTTTGTTGACTTTAGTTCTTATATTTTTAAAAACACTTTTGGTTCTTATATTTTTAAAAAATGACTATTTTGATTTGTATTTGTAAAATTTTAACACAAAAATTATATACAATTGAAACATTGATGTAATATATGACTATATTATTTTAATAAATTTATTGAGAGAAATGTTAGATTAAAATTTAAGTAAAAAAAAAAGACAAAAAAGAAAGTGAGGAGTTCAAAATGGTTACCATATAAAAGCATAGAAACTGAAAAGAAGGATGTGATATAGTACAGTGATTAAATTTGACAAAAAAAAAAAAAGAATTGAAATATAAATCTTATTTAAATTAAATTCAACATGCACGTGAATTAATGAACTATTTTGACTAATCGATAAACATTATGTTATTAAATGAAATGTATTCTCCTTTCCTGCAACCATTCAACAATAAATCTCAAAATTATGTCTAATTTGGTGTAGTTTTAGGTCAGTGACCCACCTAGAAAATGTTATTAGTTTAAATACAATTTTGGTCTCGACTTTCTTTCATTTTTCTTCTTATTACTTTCAAAACGACGTTTTGGTATATGTACAAACCTTTTGTTAGTACATGCATTCTCAAAAAGTCTATTTTGGCGCTGTTTATTCTTAAAAATGATTGTTTTGGTATTATATTTTTTTATCTCATTTCTTTATATCATAATTTTAGCTTGACGAAAAAACTAAATTTATTGAAGCATAAACATAAATTTATATGAGTTTATATGGTGTATATAATTTATTTTAAAATTTTTCAATTAAAAACTAAATTAGTTTATTTTTAAAAATACAAAAATCAACAAAGGTTTTGAAATTAAAATGACTAAAATGAATAAAAGCAGGGTAAAATAATAAAAATGAGCATTATGAAGACTAAAATAAATAAAAATCAAGAGGAGGTTGAACAAAATTGTATTTAAACTAAAATTATTCAACGAAACATGTGACGAGAAAAAAATTTGGTCGAATATTTCCTTACAAAAAGATAAAACGTTTCATTTCCGGTCGGAAAAAGAAATTTCCTTGTTTGTTAACCCAGAACACGGGCAATGGATTGATAATTTGATGATTGCCGCTAGATGTCAATTTGGAAAATAGAGTCACAAACAAGGCTATTTTCGGAAAGTGCGCACCCACCTGCTTTTGCGAGCGAACCTGGYAGTGGCAAGTCTCAAAAAGCAATAGAACAAATTTCACTTCCACATTTCTCGTTCAATTCCCTCTGGAAATAAAGAACCGCGAAGCGAAGTTCCTCATTCATCGGTTTCTCAATCAACATCGATCCAAATCGATCTTCGTGCAGCGTCGAGGCTTTCTGTTCTGATTTTCCTGTACGCTCCATGTTCTCGTTTGACATCGTTTTCGCTTTTAACTGATAGGAACTCCGAGGCTATTTGTTCATATTCTATATTCGTATTTTGCTTGATATCTGTTCTGGTTTATTGTTTTGCCAAATTTTCGCTGGATGTTTAGCATTTTGAAGGTCTGTGATCTTTGTATTTAGCAAGTTTTGTATACGCATTGTGCAGGTAGGGAATTTTGAGAGCCATGGCGTTTTTCAGAAGCTTGACGGCTCTTTCCAAGCTACGGTCGCGTGTTGTGAGTATATAGTTTCGGAATTCTTTCCTGTTCTGGGTATTTATTAGTTATTTTATCGGTAAAGGTTTTGACGATCTGGAGATTTCTGCGATGCTTCAGGGACAGCAGTCTAATCTCAGTAACTCCGTTAGATGGCTTCAAATGCAGAGCTCATCTGATCTTGTAATGTTCTCAACTCATGTTAATCAATTTTTATCAAGCCTGACTGGTTAGGCTACGTTTTATAGTGTTGATAGTTCACCTTAAGATAGATCTTACGGATATGAATTGTTTAAATCAGACTGTGATGGCTGCAATTCCCAGCTCGCCAGAGTGGATAACTGTAGCCATTAAGTCTACGTGCATATTTCCAATCAGTTGATAACGTATTTTCTGCTGCAATGCAATCGGCTTACCTGCATCTAACAAACCAAATACGATATTTGTTACTTGACTACTTGTACGACTAATTCTAGCTGCTTGGAGATTTTCAGACGCATGATGTAGTTAGTTAACTTGCAGATGAATGATTACTTCAACCCAATTAGTGATTTCACTTATGGAAGTTATGTTTGTCGTGCAGGACCTACAATCTCAATTGAAGGAATTGATTCCAGAGCAGCAGGTTTGTTTATCCTAACAGTATTCATTTAAAGTTCATTTAGCTCAGCCCCCCCACCATAAATACAAAGGCCAAGTGGTTCAGTTCTTATTCTTTGAAGTTTTACATCGAAATCCAAGCCAATTCACTCATCTGTCTTTCATTGAGTGAATCACTATGACCGCTTCGCTAAAATGGGATGCATGTTTTGACGAAAATTCATCAGGACATTAATTAGATGCTGTCTTCTTGTCTCTAGTTTGATTGGTAATTACTATAAGTCTATAACAGCATGACTGATTGGTCCAATACATTTAACACTGAGCCTGATTAAGCTTTCCAGTAAATCTTATAATTCATTCATGTATATTCTTAATATGTCTAATGATTATAGGATCGCCTGAAGAAATTCAAAGCTGAACATGGAAAAGTTCAACTTGGCAACATCACTGTTGATATGGTAAGTATAATGACTTCATTAATCTCTATTTTGCTGCCCCACAATATCAGTGGCAAAGATTATTGTCTCATGGGTGACATTTGGTCCCATGCAACCAAATCATTCTAGGTAGCTCTTGTGAAAAATATTCTCTGGCATCACCGCAAGATATATATATATATATATATATATATATATATATATATTTTAATTTAATTTAAATGGGTTGTGTCTAACATTGTGAAGGTACTTGGTGGAATGAGAGGAATGACAGGGCTACTGTGGGAAACATCTCTACTCGACCCTGATGAGGTATAAAATCCATTTGGTTAATTCCCAGTGATTTTGTCTTGAGATGTCTGTTCCTAAGGTTTCTTGGCTATACATACATGGTTATTTCGTCTGTATGAATTGGATGAATGCGTGCGGCTGTTAATAGAGTAACAGATTTTGAGTATCATGTTTCCAGGGTATTCGCTTTAGGGGTTTATCAATTCCTGAATGTCAAAAACTACTACCAGCTGCGAAGCCTGATGGAGAGCCATTACCTGAGGGTCTTCTGTGGCTTCTTCTCACAGGAAAGGTGAGTTGCTTAAGAAGAATGTGTTCTTGTATACGTACATCTTCTAGGAAATTATTTCAGAGTGCTATTCAGACATGAAGCTGCTAGAATTAACCTACTTTTGTAAGTGGGTTGTTGCTATATATAACCAAAAACTGCATCATTTATTCTTTCATATATCAGGTACCAAGCAAAGAGCAAGTAGATGAATTATCCAGGGAGTTGCAAAGCCGAGCCATTGTTCCAGGTTCAGCCTAACTCTGGGTTAAATTGTTCAGATCTTGTAGCTTGTATATGATATCTATCACGTTAGTGGCACTAGAATATATGGTTAAYTTAGGACTTCCACTTGCAACCTCTTCCCCTCTAGAGAAGACATTTTCCTAAATATTGGATTTTTGTTTTTCCTGGTGTCAGATTATGTGTACAAAGCCATTGATGCTCTTCCCATCACATCTCATCCGATGACTCAGTTTGCAACAGGTGTTATGGCTCTTCAGGTTAGTAATGAAGTTCTCTATTTATCATGTCCTTAAGGATGTGATAAGGATTTTCTTGCCCAACTTAATGTGAAAGGGTTTTTTATGGGATAAGCCTATCAATTTGAAAATTTTCATATCTGATTTGCTTGAATATTTTTGAGCATCAATCCTCATTTGTTTAATTTGATAAAAATCCATCGTCTTCTGTTTTGCTTCAATTTTATCAACCCTGTATTTGCTGATCTTTAGTTTGTTAGTTTTCATTTCCATTCTAGAAGTATTGTAATTATCTAGGCATACTGTTTTTCGTAGGCTGCCTCATTTTATTATTAAACTTGTACTGCCTTTCAGGTTCAGAGTGAATTCCAGAAGGCCTATGAGAAAGGAATTCATAAATCAAAGTAAAGTTCATGCATTCAAGACTCATTCTCCTTACTTACTCGAGTACTGAAAACAATACATTTTTTTAGGTACTGGGAACCAACATACGAAGATTCACTGAACTTGATTGCTCAAGTGCCTTTGGTAGCTTCTTATGTCTACCGGAGGTTGGTAGATCACTTGTTTTGATTCCTACTAAATCATATTTGTCTATTGTATTTCAACTAATTGTATCCTTGACGTGGATGTCTCTGTTTTTCAATCTGCATCTCATGTGATAATCTTTGCATATTTAAAAATACTCTGGCTACCTTCTTGCATGGTCTCCTCCTTGTTAACTTGTTGGATTAATTTGGATTTCTTGCTGCACATATTTGAAGGATATACAAGGATGGCAATATAATTCCAAAAGACGACTCTCTTGATTATGGTGGGAATTTTTCACATATGTTAGGATTTGACAGTCCCCAAATGCAAGAACTCATGAGGCTCTATGTCACCATCCATAGGTTAGTATATGATGTTCCACTCCTTTGAATTTTGACCATATGAATTCTACGATATCGTATCGCAAAAGAGCAAGAACGAGAGAGAATAATCTAATAAGATTGAGTATTTGTGTGTAAAAATGCCCTGCAGTGATCATGAAGGTGGGAATGTTAGTGCTCACACCGGCCACCTTGTAAGTTATCTCACTTCTTGGAGTTTGAATGAGTCGTATTTTGTGGCATTGTTACATAATTTGAAATTTTGTTGTGTAATGGGTTGAAACATGACTTTTCCAAGCGTAGTTGTCAGTGTAATGTTACTGTGCGTCAATATTCATGCCTGTGCTATTCTTTGAGTTATTTGATACTTCCATGCAGGTTGCTAGTGCACTTTCAGATCCTTATCTTTCATTTGCTGCTGCTCTAAATGGTCTGGCTGGACCATTACATGGTTTGGCAAATCAGGTGCGTGGTAGATTGTTTTCTGATAGCTACTTTTTGTCCCCTCCATTTAGTATTTAACTACTAATATAGAATATAATTTTAATTAGTAATGCTTTCATAATAGTGATGGATTTAATTCTTTCAACTATTTTATTTATTTATTTTCTCTCGAGTCATTCACCTTCAAATCCAATCCAATTTATCTAAAAGTGAGAAAAAAAAAATCAGAAGAGAAGTGAGAGGTATTGAAAATATTCTTTGAGTTTATTCATCATAACTGATAGATAGTACCTTATGGAACATTCTTCAGAAATGTATTTGTTTCTGCTACGTATCTTTTAAGTGATGAAACTTAATTCTTCGGTTTTGGACTGTAGAACTGAAATGAGCATTAACCTTAACTAATTGCTATCAGCTTAATGACATGAATACATTTAATGTTTTGCTCCAATTGCATCATATCAACATATGGAGGTTGCCAATTATTGTTCCTCATTTTGCACTGCTTGCAGGAAGTTTTGCTTTGGATCAAATCTGTGGTGGATGAGTGTGGAGAGAACATAACTACGGAGCAGTTGAAAGACTATGTTTGGAAAACACTAAACAGTGGCAAGGTAACGACACGAATTCATTCTTCATTTTTCGTTCTAGCTAAAAATCTCATGCATAAAGCTCATACTTAACCTTCAGCTTYGCTTATACTAAGCTAGTTTCATTTGTGTAATTTGGCAACTGTACTTCTGTTTTTTAATAACTGATTGTCTCTCTTCGGTCTTCATTGATAAGAATATTCATTTCTGGACTATTTATTTTTATTTTAGTTCCCAAATTCATTAATCCTCCCCCATAAATTTGCCACTGTTGAGAATATTTTCCTTCAAGCATTTCAGTCATTGCAATTTGTTTATCTGGAAGATGCTTTTTCCCATTTTCATAAACTATTTTTGGAAGTTGAGAAAGAACTCAAGTTTCCAATTTTCATATGTATCTTGGCTCTTAGCTACTCTAGGAAGAGATGTCTATTACGGAATTCCTTTACAAATTTAAGGTTGCATATTCATTTAAGGAACTTTCATCAATTCCTTATCATGCTTTTCAACTTGTAGGTTGTTCCAGGATTTGGTCATGGAGTTTTGCGTAAGACAGATCCAAGATATACTTGTCAGAGGGAATTTGCATTGAAGCATTTGCCTGATGATCCACTTTTTCAGCTGGTTCTCATCTATACCCTGATTGGAGACTTGCTCGCACTCACATTCATATATATATATATATATATATATATATATATATATATATATATTTACCTATCCCGTATATCCTTCACAATATAACCTAGCATGGGCATTTGCAGGTATCCAAGCTCTACGAAGTTGTGCCACCCATCCTTACAGAACTTGGCAAGGTAAATTGATAAGCTTCTCTATGCTTATATAGCTCAATTATGCAAGCTTCTTATCTTCTGTTACTAGTAATTTCTGCAAGCATATGTGGATTCATCTCTTAAGTTTGGGCATATTAACATATAGAAAAAATGGTTATAAAGACCTARTGAGGAAACTTATCATGTTTGCAATTCTTTCTTCAGATAATTTTCGACCATCTTTTATCAAAGATATAGACGTGATGTGACAGATTCTCTCTAAACAGCTTGTTTTCATATTATCATAAAATGGATTAAATCTTCCAAGTTTATGAAATCAGGACATGCAATACTACACAGTTAATGTGTTGTATTTTTTATAAAGTACTCATAACTATCCTATGAATTCTTTATGGTCACAGTAGTCATGGAAGGATCTTACATAGTTGTCTCTTGTGGCGGTATCCTCCATGCTTGCAGGTTAAAAACCCATGGCCAAATGTTGATGCTCACAGTGGAGTGCTGTTGAACTACTTTGGTTTGACCGAAGCAAGGTAGATTATGGTTCAATTGCACGCATCCGACTGTTTTTTACTTTTCACTTACGGATAACTAAAACTTCCATTATTAACTTTGCACAGGTACTTCACTGTTCTCTTTGGTGTTTCAAGGAGTCTTGGGATTTGCTCTCAGGTCTGTTTTCTTTTACTTTCATTTTCATTTTATTTTTTTTAATTTTGCCAAATTCTTTTAGATTTACTGTGTTCTATTTTTGGGTTCAGTTAATATGGGACCGAGCTCTGGGGTTGCCACTTGAGAGGCCGAAAAGCGTGACATTGAAATGGCTCGAGAACTTCTGCAAGAAAGCAGCTTGATGATTCTGGAAGTGGGTGAATAAAAAACTTCATTCAGCTTTCACAAATTTCCGAGTGTAAGAGAATTAACGTCATTTGTAATAATTGTTCAGGCATGTTTTACCACACACGCAGATGCAGGATSATCTGAAAGTACTTTTGGGGATAAGTAGATTTTAGAATCACTTGGGGACTACTACAGCATTTTAAACTTGTTGAGTTTTCTGGCAAATTTTTTATTCGTTCGCTCTCATGAATCTCAGCTGTTAGTGAAGTATAATGTTTAGGGAAGGAAATGGTTGGAGCCATTTGAATAAAGAGATTGGCGTAGCTTGAATCTTAAATTATTCCCTTCAGCTACACTTCCTTGTACGAGACATTTTAAAGTATGCATGCTTCTTTTAGCATCAAATTTCGACAGTAGATGGTTCAAACGTAGTATAGAATTGGAATTCTATTATATAGGTCGCGTTAATTAGAAGATAGTTTAGCATATAAAATATCTATTAGGAGTTATAAATATTAAAAACTTGCCTTTATATAAAGTCGAGAATAAATTATAAATAGTATTCTTAAATTTAACATGCAAACAAAATGGTATTTCTATGTATATTTGTGCTGGATTGAAAGGAAGTTGGGGATACTCTATCCGGAGTGTTAGAAATAAATCAATGATTTTTTTATTTTTGATTTCTCGGGAATGTGTCTYCCTTTTTGCTTATGTGAGTTTGACCCACCTTTTGACTCCGCTTCCTTTGAGTGGTTCGACAACCTTACCTTACTAAGGAGAGAATTTTCACAATTTACTTTAAAGTTTGGATTAAACTAAAAAATATAAATAAAATATATATATATATATATATAGAAATTTCTTACTAAAATAGGTTTAAATTAATATAAAATAAGGTATGGTTATTGGGTATTGTGAAGAAATATTATGCTTCTAAAAAATAAAAATAATGGTCTCGTAGTTTTCAAACTATTTGCAATGAAAAAAGTGAAATTTGAAATTATTTGTAAATAAAATTGAATAGAGCAAAATCAAATTTATTATTCTTAGGTTTAATAGAGTTCGAAACAACCAATCATCCTTCCTAAGGTAGAATCCGACTCCTCTTGGCATTTAGGTTGATTCAAGGTGACATTCTTACCTTAGGAGACGAATTGAACTTCTTCTTGACAATTAGGCTGATTCAAGGTGACATCCTTAATTTAGGAGACGAATTGAACTGGCTTCTAGAAGTGCAATCCTTGGCCCTATCATTCCCTTCTCTCGCATTTGTAACAAACTTGCATATCTTTTGGTAAAAATGGGGTATCTTTTGTAGTTGGTTTTGGTCATCCAATCTCCCCCAGTGGCTTTTGGAATGTGTAAATGGAGATTTCCCTCCCATTATTGTCCAAATGGGTTAATTTAATACAAATTCCTTTTCAAAAAAGAAAGAAAGAAACAACCAATCATCCTTGGAAAAAAAAAAAATCATCCTTGGAAAAAAAAAAAATCAAGTAAAAACTTGCCCTATGAAAACAAGGAATTGTGCACATGAGTAAAATAAGTGAACTCCTTAAAAAATGAAGATGTAATTTCAATTAATCTCATCCACCTATTTGGACTTGTCCCACTTGAAATGAAAGCCATAAACTCAAGTTAGACATGATCTATTTTTCTTTAATCTTTTTGAAAAACTTTTAGCATTGCGAGAGWGCATACTTTGCAATTTACGATTTGATCACAATATCATGTAATTTATTATTTTATTTTATAGATTTGAAGCATTTCTAAACATGGTTGATGTGACATACCTGAAAAAAGAAAATGGAAAATTTTACTACTACCTTATTATTAGAATTTTCTGCAAAAAGCCAAAATAAACATAATTTCTCCGCACGTGTCAAGATGGAAAWTTTTTGCTATTCAAATATTTCTAAATATGGTTTTATTATCTCGGTCRACAATAAATGAAACATACTCTTGATTTATTTGATTTCCAACAGATACTTCTTCAAATAGTTTGTATTTAGTAATTGGAAGAAAATTTGGCTTCAGTATGTCTATTGATACGACATATGAGCTCAAACCTTTACGTGAGCTTACCTACACTAGCTTCTCCACACGTATTAATATTCGTCTCACCTATTTAACTCAGCGATAATTGATATTTATTCATCCTTAAACCATACCACAATTGGACCATTTATCGTACTAAGATTTTCATAAAAWGATTGTACAATAATCAAATGACACGTGGACTACGATTGTATTGAGCGTAATCCACGCTCCGTTCTGAGTCTCGGGTGGACTCTCTTCTTTTTGGAAGTTCCAAAGTCTTTGTAACCGAACGGGAAGTTAATGGCTTCGATCTTCGCCGCGCCGCCGTCTCAACTGAATCTCTGTTCTCGCCGCTCAAGTTCGAATCGCAGAGCCCTTCTCCCCTCCATTGTCGGCGTTAAACTTCACTCGAGCGGCTTTCCAGTTCCTTCTTTCAGGTATCCGTAGTTTTCTTTTAAGCAGTCCTCTTCGATCCCTCGCATTCAACATATATAATCTCAGAGGATATCCGGATTGTTATATGTTGTAATGAGCATGCTAGCAATGAAGTTCATCTGCTGCTTATTTCTGTAAAGTGAATCCACTTTGATTTTTGTGTTGAAATTGAAATTGAATTATGGTCGCTGCCTTGCTGCTTCCTAATTCATTTCGGCTACTGATGCAAATAGCTTTTACTAGTATTAGGATTTACTTCTCTGGATTTTTCGAAGTTTAAATGCAATGAACCTTTGATTTGATGTCTATTTAAGCAGTCCTTTTCTAATTTCGATCCTTCGCATTCAACATTTAATCTCAGAAGATATCGGGATCATTATATGTTGTAATGAGTATGTTAGCATTGAAGTTTATCAGTAAGTTAATATTGTAAAGTGAATCCACTTTGATTAATGTGTTGAAAATGGAATTGGACGATAGTTGCTGCCTTGCTGGTTTCGAATTGGTTTCGTCTAATGGCGCAAATAGCTTATACTAGTATTAGGATTTACATAACTGAATGTTTCGAAGTTTAAATGCAACGAACCTTTGATTTGGTACCTATTTAAGCAGTCCTATTCGATCCATCGCATTCGGCTCTGGCATATAGAATTTCAGAGGATATCGGGATTATTACATGTTATAATCAGAGCATACTAGCATTGAGTTCATCTGTATCTTAGTTCTATAAAGAGAATCTACTTCGAGTCTTGTCTTGAAAACTGAAAGATCTTATACTACTAATAGGTTTTATTTTAACAATCATCTCCGACGTTTAATATGAATGAATCTTTGATTGGATACTTTCATTAGTTTCTTTGGTGTTCGGACACGATGCGGCTAAGGAAAGTTGTGTTATTTTTTCTGAAAGCTTTTGTCTGATAATTAAGTAGTTATATTTAAGATGATTGGGAAATAAAATTGTTAGATACAACTAGTACTTCTACATTGTGAATTTTCACAATGGTATGATATTGTCCTAGAAGCCTTCATAACTTTACATTTGATTCCACCCAAAAAAGTCTCGTTACAATGAAAATGTTATCCCTAATTTATGTACTATCATATTTTTTCCTTATCTAACGAATACGTGACATTTGTCCCATTTCCAACAAAAATGTGGTGGAAAATACGTCTTCTATCATTATTGGTTCCATATTTACTGTTCTTTATCTGTTTACCATTTTTACTTTGTTCATTTCCTTCATTTACTACTACTTTTTCCTCCCACACACATGACATGCCTTTATATGGGTCAAATCAGTTGCAGAGATTCTTTTTTCACCTGCTACTCTCAGGTATCATAAATCAGAACAAAATCAGAGTATGAAGACTGGTATTCACAACATTGCTACTCAGATGAATGCTTGTGTGATTTCTTTTTTGCAGGTTCAGGCACACCAAAGGATTGGAATTAAGCCAAAGATCTTTTTCTATAACAGCATCAAATTCCTCAGATGGGAATTCCATTAAGGAGGAAGCAACTGGTGATGCCCAAGGTCCTCCATTTCTTACCATTTTGGCTGGATTTTTTGTCTTCTCCCTCATAATTTGGATGATCAGTTCTGCTTTCACGTCACTTATAGGACTAGTCGTCAAGCTGATCCCGGCAAAGTAATGTAGCATTATTGTAGCTCTATCACAACTCACTTTTAGCTAGTTTTAGCTTATATCTAGTGCATAATTTTTATTTTCATCTCAATTACGCATAGCTTCAGCCTTCAAATAATGTTTGATCTGAACTCGGATATATGCGTAAACCAACTTAAATGAACTTTGTAGATTAAGCCATCTACTAAGTAGTTTAAGTTAAGCCCACCTTAGCCTTCATATATAGGTAGGTGAGTAGTTCTCAAGAAATATACCACCCCCACATTTGGAATCAAATCCTCTTTATAAAAGCTATTCAAGAAACTTTTTTATTACGTACTATGAAAGAGTGATATATTTTCTCTCGTTAATCTTGTCTGATAGTCTGTTTAAAGCCCAAAAAAGAATAATATTTTCTTCCCATCGTCTGTTTTGACAAATAGGAGAGAAAAATGTAGTGAAGAAGAGTGAGAAATTTTGGAAAATGTTATCCAAGACAAGAGTGCGAACTTTTTTGTACACCATGACCGATATAGATAAAAAGTGGATTAAGAATGCCCTAAATGGAATTGTAACAGCCAATAATTAAAAAAGAAAAAAAAAGGTCATACATCATATTAGCAAATTTGACTTTACTTTACATCAATAAAAAGGTTCCATGTCTTTTTTCTTTAGACAACAATGAAGGACAGTTTCTACAGAGAAGATAAGATGGAATAATAAATCATCTGTTGGAAAAATACATTCCAAGCGCTGAAAATGAAATTACTAGTTTTTGTTTCAACGCGTTATTTACCGAATATAACAAAATTGTGATAGATAAATGAACTGACTCGACTTAGCCCTTAAAATACACAAAACGAAGTCATATCTAACTGGCAAAATTATCTTTATGTTTCTGGATTTTCTCCAACTGAAGATGTAAATTTTCGCCGTTCATCGGCCGAAGCAGTGATTACTGGCATCCAAATATCAGCAGTGTCACTCAACAGAGACTGCACCTGTGGATCTGCAGCCATTGCTGAAGAAATCATTTCATCAACATCATCTAACTTTTCAGATAACTTATCCAACTCCTTGGCAATTTCCAGCTGGATAGAGGGCACAAAATAAGATTTTTAGGCATTAGATTCAATCTCTTCAAGAAAATGCTAGCAATGGAATAAATATAAATGCAACGAATATACAGGAGACTAGGATACTAGAAGACTGACTTCATCAAGCTGCTTCAAGGACTTCGAGGGTACTTTTGTAACTTCAAGTCCGAGGGCTTCGATCTTGGTACGCAATTCAACTTCTTCCTGGTTGGTCAGTGATTCCACCTGTAAAACAAATGCTTCTAAGGAAAGAAAGTGCACAAGCTAACGATGGACACGATTTCCATTTATTACACAATGCTACTCGCTCAAACAAGAAACATTATGGCCCAAGGACAAGGAGAGTGCAAACATAACTTTTTATTAGGTAATTGAAGACAAACAATAACTTGGATATACTCGTCACTGCTTCACCGAGCAATTTCCACAGGGAACAGTTCACGAGAACACGCCCCTGTACAGTCTTCATGTTGATTCTGTGTATGTTCTTTTGTCACGTAATAGCATGACAATTTGAAAAATTGGCTCCTCTCATCCATGGTAGAAGATGGTAAATTTATATATAGTCTTTCTTGATCAGTTTGAAAGACAAGGATAAAAATGAAGAATTTATCATCCTCAACCATTTTTCCAAATATTGAGCGTCAAATAGTAGATTTAGATATGGTCCTCCTTTAACATTTTCCTTTTCATTGATTTCTTGTCCAAAATTTTGCATTGCCCCTTGGATAAGTGTATAACCTGCTCATGCAGTGAACACAAACTGCCTCAAGCATGAGTGTATAACCCGGTGTCAATGAGGAATATCTCAGCACGATCATATATTTTTGTTTAAAGTATGATTTTGATTCATGCCCTCTTGCACTTGAAGATCTCTTTTTCCATCAAAAGTCATAACCCGATCACCCTTCACAATATCATGACCCTGCCCCTATACTACATCCAAACCCATCCTCATCAGTTCAATCAAGGACCCGAAGTTTGCCATCAAAGGCTGTCTTTTGATCCAAGCAATCAAGGTTGTGAAATGTCCTTAAGTATTTTGTAAGTCGGTAGGCTGGACAAAGGCTTGAATTTTTTATGAATCTCGATAATGAGACCACTTCATGAGTTTTTCTTCCTAATGGAGGTAGTAACCTTGATTTTTTAAACTATCTTCACTGGTTGAGATGTCTATAGATTGAACTGTAAAGCTAAAATCTCAGATGAAAGCACAAGAGGGTACTGTGATTAACCCAAATACATGGCAGTCCAAGTTGCACATCAAGTTTTTTTTTACAAGAAACAACTTTTCATTGATAGATAGAAAGGAACAAAATGTCCAAGGAAACAACCTCCAAAATGAGAAAAATAAAAAAAACAATGACCAACCAAAACAAAGAGAGCAGGCCAAAACAATAGCCCCAAAATTAAAAAATCCAAAAGACAAGCCAAATTACCAACAAACTAACCAAGAAAACAAAAACAGGAGAGTTGCACATCAAGTTCGCATGAGAGCTGAACTCAACATTGTGTTTGCATCATTATGTTGCTAGGAATATTAACATGATTCTAGCAACATGATCGAGTCTTTGAAGGCTGATTCAATATGTGTGAATCTGACTGTCCTCCCCTGTGGCTGTATTCAATTCAAATCTTGAAGAAGCTCTCTCACCTCCTCTTCACCTAAAATGGTAAAATTTCTTCTAGCAAGGACCTTCCAAGAACTGGGATTCTTCCCTCCAGGCCCATTGGATTGTTTTATTCCTTATAGGTGTCACTACGTAGAATCTTGATTTTGAAAGCCTTTGACACAGAAGCTGATCCCAACCCAACCATTGTTCCAAAAGGATGATTTTTCCCCATTGGCCACTTTAATCAGAGAAAAAGTCTCTAGCAACACATGCTTCCTGCCGCTCTCTATTTGGCCAACTAACGCCCTTCCTTCTTCCTGTAAAACTGGTGATCGCTTTCCAAAGTTCTTTAGCTTTAGCCTTTGGAGGGTATTTCAATAGTCATTTGTCAAGAGTTTTTATCCCACTCCCTGAATAACCTATTCTAAGCCTTTCGACTCTAGGGTACAGCTAAAATGTTCTAGTTAACATCAAATGATATCTTAAAATGTGGAGGCAGTTACTTAAAGTTTATGTTCCTCTAAAAGGAAAAGTACACCGTACACTTAGTTGATGGATAGACATCAGGTTACATTTGCATATTACAGTGGAGAGAAATATTGACACACAACAAAGCAAATTGTTGTGTCGTTGAGGGGAACGAAACTGAAACATGTAAATAAAATTAAAAAAGTACTCAAGGGATGCCCCATGAGTACATGCCTCTTTTCTGTATAATATAAGCATGTCTTGTAATTTTTAAATTTTATAATCATTTACTATCTTATATACAGTGTAAAATTCAACATCTTATATAGAAAAAGAGGCATGTAGTCATGGACCCCCTTGAGTAATTTCTTTTGTCACCAGATGAGGTCCTAAACTGAGAGACTTGAAATCCCATGAATGAGATCCAAATCCAATGCATAATGATGAAATTGAAATGTGAGTCTGAGTGTGAGTGTGAGAAGTGAGAACACAAAGTATAACTTTAAGGAGTATTCCTTGACCCGATCCCATGTCAATATTGTAGGGTGTTCGGAAAGTGAAACACAAAACTCAAAACATGATACGAGGACATGACAATTGAAACAAAACATGAGTGATAAGTGAAAGTTTGGTTGAAAAGACTTAGATCAGGACTCAGATCACTATGATTCTTCTAAATGTATACATAAAAACACAAAGTAAACGTTCAAACCAGGCAGTGCGTCCACCAATGACTTGCATGGTAAAAATCCTCTTTCTTGCCACCTTTTACAGAGACCATCACTTTCATTTATTAATGATTGAAATAATACCCATCGTCTTCTTGCGTTTTCTTAATCATGCACAAAATTCTACATTCCTAGGATAATTTTAGCTATACGCAGTATCCAAGAAAAGCGTGATCAAACAAAACTTCAACTACCAAGCACTCAAGATCCAACATTGTCATCAAGTTTTCTTTTTATATTTTTTTGAGTACAAAGTCTAATTGGCAAGGGTTTGGAGTCTTTTGGTCGTACTGACTTAGAGGTCTCAATTCTGGTGAGAKCTTAATAACAAAAATAATTCTTGATGTCTTCTGGGTCGAAGTTTGGGGCTGCGCTGGTGCCCTTGATTATAGGAGAAAACTCTGACTCCCAATTATAGGGAAAAAAAATTGTAAATGTTGGGACGGGGATTGAACCTCTGAACTCTTGGAGAAAAAATAATCACTAAGCGATACTCAATGTTGCGATCAAGTTAAAAGATGCGAGAAAAAGGTTTAATCAATAATGCAAAACAGTAGTCAGCAAGCAGTATTCCAAAATTAAATTACACCTATTTCTCTGTAAATCACAAATTCCCAAAATAAGAAGACAAATTCGTAGCAAAAGTGCAGCAAAGCACGACGCTGATGATTAACCTACTCTTCCAAACATCTAAAAATAAAAACACAATCAACCAAACGTGCCGATCCTAAACGTCGTTCAACCACGACAATACCTAGACAACGAATTAACCTAGAAAACAAGTCAACGAATAAACCGCAATTCAAGCACAAACAATTTCGGATAAATCACAGGAAGCGAAAATTGGAACAGAAATTCGATGAATGAGTAGGAAAGTAGGGAGAAGAGTGTGACCTGGTGGAGAAGATTGGCAAGAAGCTGGAAAAGTTGGTCGTCTGGGTTCCCTTTTCCGGCCATGGTTCTCTGTGATGAGCTTCGGATTTTGCTGAGGTACTTGTAGAAGGAAGGAACGATGGCGCCCAATCTGTGATCTCCAACGGCGCGGGAGAGGCAAATATTACGGCCACTGTGACAAGTTCTCTCCTTTCCATCAACCGCGGAACACCTTATATTTGTTTCCTATCCTTTCAAACTTCCGAAATCATTTTTTTCAACCCAACCAAAAAAATAAAAATAAAAAATGTTTCCTGAAATCATGCGGATTAAAATAATGTACTATTTTTTATTTTTCTCAAGTTGGATAGGAGGTTTAAATCATGTTGTTACATGAAAAAAATGCTCGAAACGTTTCAACAAAAAAATTGAAGGTTTAGATTAAGCAATTTTTGAGTTACTGAAATCAGTTTCGAAGGTCGAAGGCTAAATTTGTAATTTAACTTTTTTTTTAATTTGAATGCATGGCTTGATTTATTTTCAAAATTAAATTATGTTTTTGGCTTTTTGTAATCTAAAAACCTTCTATGGTACTAAATCTATGTTGTTAACTTTGTCAATTTAATGCAACAAAACGCTTATAAAATTAGTATGTAATGTAGTCATTAAATAATGTTGTTAGCATGTCAGTTAGCCAATATAAGCATAGTTCATGGGATAAATGACATCTCCTTTATTTTGTTTAGGTCAAATGTTTAAATCCTCGTATCCCAATTTATTGGATTGTATTCGAAAGAATAAAAAAATGAATGAATAAGTTAATGATATTGATTTGTTGGTCACAAAATAAAAAATAGATAAACTTGTTATAAATTTTTTTTAACTACAATCGAGGAAAAGCTTTGGAGGTTTCTTTTTATGTTGGACCACATTTGCACACCTCCAATCAAGCTACGAGAGCACGAGTAGGTATGCGATTATGGGTAGGGGCGATTGAGTTGCTTATCAATCAATCTTCAGTCTCCTCTAATTACTAAACCAACATGACATGAGTCGTTATAAAGAATCTTGATCTCAAATTGAACTAGTACATTATTTCATTATGTTTGAATGGATAGTACAGTGCGATAAAATAGTAACCAAATACCATGAACTTCAATGCTAATTTTAAGTTTACTTATATATATATGTCATATTGTATTTTAAAACAATAACTACAAATATACTATTTTTTTAATGTGTTCATTGTAGATTCACTTTAATAATGATCCATGTGTGTTTTATTTTAAGGCAATAGTTGCTGATATACTTAATCAATTAATTAACCTACACAAATTGATGACAAATGTCTATTAACAATAATTGATTGATCTAAATTTGTTTTTTAGCTTATATTCTCAAATATTGCATTTTAAAATTTCAGCTTTTAAATAATAAAAATCAATATAACAATGTAATATTATGTTTCATTGTTGATGTACAATTTAAATATAATAACAATTTGTTAAAAACTTCCAGGATGAAATAACATTTTAAAAAAGACAAAATAAAGTCAAAAGTTTTTAAAATTAAATGTAACATGAATTAAAAACATGTTGGGATTCATTACCAATATGTCGTTACAATTTTAGCATTTAGAGTAAGATGGTTATCGGATTAGAAGTTAAGACGACGTTTGATCRTCCTCATTACCCATTTGATTTTTCAATCGATAAAAAAAAAAGGAAAAAAATTATAGGATCCAGGGTGAGATTTTTCGAGTGGAAACTCAAGGCATCGAGTCCCCTGTGAAATATTATTCCATGTCTATTATAATTAAATGTTAATTATTTGCTGAGAAAATTTATTTAAATGGTTATTTAATTTGAGTGTATGAGGGAGGAATAATGAGGAGATTTGGGTGGAGTGTGCCCCTGAATT